TGACTCAGTATGCACCATGTGCTAAATTCTCGAGTTTTGTAAGAGTGCTTTCAGTCGATCACCATCTTATTTCTACCTTTAGTAAAACAAAGCTAGCTGCATCACAATTGACGTTCTTTTACAAACTAGTATTTTGAATCCAAGTCATACATCAAAGACGCACTCGTCATAGCGAGCAGCTATTTGAAGGATGTTGTTGGATAAGCCAATCTTTACGCGATAAGCCGTGGAGCGCAGACGAAGTCAACAAAAAGAAGAGATGATGAAAACAAACCTGCTTGGCACCACCGATATATAAATCCAATAAAATAACGAACATACTGTGGCACCGGCCAACAAAAAGTACCAAAACCTGTAAAGTATCGTTTTCATTATGAGATAGCAATCAGCTGTGCGATTGTTGAAACTGCAAATAACTTACCACAGGAAGAGAAATATCTTTTCGTTGAACATGTTGATCATAAGAACACACTGGACGGTGTGACGGTGCACATTTCCTAGCACCTGAAAGTGACATAAACGCTCAAGTTCTCACTATCTTGCAACAATAAACGTCTTTTTTCATTGACGTTCAAAGCGCTAATCTTTCCAAAGCAATTCCAAAAAATTCATCAGCTTAGAATAGATCATCCCCGCTATGAATACATTCTATCCCCCTATTCGGAAGCAGTGCCTGCTCTCCAATTTCAAAAGTTTTTTCATTCACCGCAAGGCCGAGGATATAATTGTGCGAGAGCACTGATCTCCCTAAGGACCTGCACTTAACGTTGAGAGTTAAAAGAATTGAGTACAGCTGCACCGAAGCGATTATAAATTCAGGGAGAAAACGTACTTTAACTTCGAAATCACAAAGAGTGACTCGGGGAAAATGTCCGGACTCTTCCCACTCTCGTCCATTCATTAGATCGTTGAGCACCTAAAAGGTCGTTTTCATTTTGTGCGATTGCGGACGTTTTCGGTCTTGCTCCCATTGGGTTAATATAGAACACATTTGGAGTGCGTAAATAGACAGGAAAGTCATAGCAATGCCAACCTGCAATCCATACCACCTGCTCCTGTTCCCAAGAAACGTATTCAGAAGGAAGATTTGACCGACAATATTAACCGTATAAAGTATTTTTACAGATATATAGAGGAATGTGACGGCGGCACCCGAAGAACGCGTGCAAATGATGAGATTCAGCAGCTTCAATCGATTGCCGCTCATCTGAAAAGAGTATTTCTGATAAAAGTTGAGAAGCTCAACTATCATTGTTGGACTGAGTACATTTAACACGTTGACGACAGCGAGCAATTTTTAACTGTCTGTCATGCGGAACAGTGCCTTCTAAGGATAAGTTGAAAATCTCTAGATAAAATCGCACAGTTCGTCATCTACAATATAGCTACAGTAATTTTGAGAAGCAGTCGAAACGCAGAAGTAATTTCTAGGGTTAGAGCATAAGGTAACTTGTGAGACGAAATTATTGCAGAATAGTTGTCACTGAAATACAATTCAAGCCATGAAACACCATGTGGGTCACGTTATCGTCAATGTGTTAAGATAGTTTCGAGAGTCTTCAGTCTAGGTGAGCAATTTTCCCGAATCTCTTTCTTCGTTTCCCCATTCTTCTCCGGCAAACGTGTTTGAAAAAAGAGCGGCAACACAAAAATTGCTTGTTTTTCGGAATGTAATCCCAAGAGTGCACAAGCTTCGAAACTAGCCTTTTTTGCGAAATACTAAAAAATAAGCATCCCCAAATTCACCTTGCTATATGCGGATTCGCCACATCTTGTCAAAACAAATGGGCTTTTGAAAGTTATGCAGGCAGCATTTTTTTCCAATGCCAAGTTCAGGGAAAGAGGCTCTAAACTAAGTTAGAGTGCATGCCGAATAGGTAACTTCTTTTGAAGTAGAGAAAATTGGTGTTCTTGGTTGTTCGTGCTTTTCTCCACTGACCAGACATTCGCGTTGGCATGACTCTACCAAATTTTTGTGGACAAAGATGTGTTACAAGATGCCAAATAAAATGAGTGGCGATTTTTGGAGAAAGAAAAATCGTACGCTTTTTCCCTTTCAAATTAAAGCGAGGCGTTTTCGCTCTTTTTTGGCGCCATCTTCTGGAAAGGTTTCCTAGCTCACGCACATGCTCATGGCACATGAGGTGTGCTTCCTCCACCCCACGTGACTCTCATGGCTCAAGGTCTGTCAATTTGACAGATTTACTTTTTAGAAGAGCCGAAACTCAAGCGCATTTCTCCATACCGAATACATGCATCTTCCCTCGATCATAAATTGTTATTGTTTTCGGCCTGCAACCACTCCCTCCATGGACATTGATTTTCATCATCATTAGAAAGAGAAAGGCTGGTGATGTCGAGACATGCAATAATAGTAACGCAGCATGACGCGTAAGCCACAGCATAATGAAAAACGAGGCTCAAAACAATTGACAGCTTTTTCTCCAGTCGAAAGCAAAATATGCACGGATGTAGGGTATTAATTTTTCCTATAGTTAGGAAGGTGTAAAATGAACTCATGAGCAATAGTTGTTTTTGCAAGCGAATGAACGAAATCCGTTTGATGTTTGACTGCCAAAATGACTATTTTCTCCAAAAATGTCTCTCGTACAGAAAACTAGCAATTCTGTATCTGCACAGTCTGAAAAAGCAGAATTTGGTTAGATGAT